AAAATTAAAACAATTGATTATCTAAATTGATTGACTGATTGAGTTAATGTTGCCATTGTATGTGGTAACTTTATCTTTGAAAAATATGACATAACACTGGTACTTATAAAGGGGACATTGTCATCGTTCATTCACTCGTCCCTTGCATATTCGCGACATTGAGATGCACCGATAAAATTGGATCGCTTCGCGAATGATATTAGCGTGCGCTCCTTCCTGGATCCCGATCTATACGATGGGCGATCTATACGATCCAAAACCGGCACGAAACGGCGGCATCTCGATTCCAAATCCGATTTTACTGCGAGATCGCGTGGCGCGCCAACTTGTGTGAACAGGAAATTCTGTTTATCCCTCCGTGGAATTGCGCGATGGCGCGTGGCCATCTTGCACGTTCGTAAAATGGTCTGCTTCTTCTCTCAGCTGTCCCCTCTCAACCCCCGTTCAACGTCCTGATCACCGCGACAAAGGGCGACCGGGCACGTGTTCCCCGATGTTTATTAATAAACCCCGACAGTCGTGCCGACTATTTTGTCGAGCCAGTACGTCTGGAAAACGGACGCAGGTGATAGCACTTCTGGTTAAAAAAACTGCTCAGACATCTGACATTTACGTGACTGTTACAGAGATATTCTATCATCCGTTATAAATATTTATTTAATGACGCTCTGGATGCCTAAATAGATTAATTAATGCACTTTAGAATTATATTATATTTTATGGAGAAAAATATGATATTTAGACTTACGCTTAATTTGAAATTTTACGTATATCTATAATCAATAAATATATGTGTCGATAGTGAAAATAAGTCAATTCAGGTGATGCTCTAAAAATTTCTTTCAATCGGAATAACATCTGATCGGTTTTTCTTTTCCGTGGAAAGCACGTGAAAGAAACTCGGTAAGTTTGCATAAGAACATGGAAGTTATTTACTCGCGAAAGTTCACCATGATTTTTCTGCTCGTCTTATCTGGAGAGGTAACGGGACTGGTCTAAGTCGAGTTATGTTAATGTTCGAATGTTCTTTCGGAAGTTCGCTAAGTTTTATGAAATATCGTAAAAGGTAGATACAAAATTCATTTTACATCCGCATAAAATTCCTCTGTGTTTCTTCTGCTTTATCTCTTATCGAAACAACAATAATAAAAATTAAAATAACGGTGATTATTTTCGATTACTATTTTATTGATGAAAACAAAATTTCTTGTAGAATTTCTTGTAAATATCAGTAATTGAGTTTTCATCGATCATAAAATATATACAAATTGCACATATATGTTAGTTCTATATAAAAGAACCAAGGCTTCTGTTACGATAAAAAATTATATATAATATATAATTTTATTATATTTGCATTATGAAGAATTATCTGAGGGACATTACGTAATAACGCTAAGATTTTGCACGGATTTTCAAAGTTGTTGATCTCTCCAACAGCACGGATCGAGGGTGTTCTTTCTCGTCGGCATTCTAGCGTATGATTAACGTTATACTGTTTTCTACAGCCGGTATTTCCGATAGAGAAAAATAAAGCCACGCAATTTTCACGCTATCGACGGACAAGTAGCACATCAACGCTCTTCGAAAGTGAATCGACACCGACGTATAAATTTTCAGCAGATGTATACGCTTATTGTCAATCGTGCTTCAACAAGTGTTCTTGCACGAGATGCAAACAATTTGATAATGACGTTATCGGCTGTGTGGCAAGACTCGCCGCAAACACGCTTGCTACGACAGTTAAAAAAAAAAAAAAAAAAAAAAACGAAATACACACGTCAATTCCGAAAGAGAGAAATGGTTTCAAAATTTACTTCACAGTTACGCGTCATGGTATATTTGTAAAAAATTTGCGAAAGAATCGTGACCGGAGCTAATATAAATACATTTTTAAAGTTAATTGAATTTATGCAAATAAACGGAATAATTAAAGACGAAGTTCCTTCATAAACATGCATTAAAAGCACGATAAAGGAAAACTATTTAAGACGTACTGAGATATACTTTAAGATATTAAAAGTAATTTCTTTATATTCTAACCGTCTGAATAAGTTATAACTGTCATGTTTATTAATTGCAATACTTTTAAAAACGTAACGTAAAAGTTCTCGACGGTGACGTTTAAAAATCGCGAGCTTGTCTTCGGGTTAACGCGCTTTTCAATTCGCGCTTCTACAATTAACTCGTGTATATCTGACATCTTTTCGCGAAATCTGACGAAAGCCACGCGTCGCGCGTACTTTTCGAAAGTCTGGCCTCTGCGACTTTGGCCGAGAGGATATTTTCGCGGGTGCTTTCATGGAGTGCATGCAGTTGGATGCACGCCACCAAAAGATGACGACGTCCCGACGTTATGCGTCGCGATGGGATCTTGTCGCCTAACTGCAGCCCGTACGAGAGGTACATTCTTCTCGTCGCACCGCGGGATGTCCGCATGGTCCACGTGTGAGCTATTAAAAACCAGTGCTTCTCAACGAGCGAGCGCTCTTTAAACGTCATCCCGCGAAATTTTCCTCACGCGAAATACAAATTTTCCTCCACGCGCGATCTTATCCATCTCGATAGAAATTGAGCCTGTTGTGTACGCAGATAAGACACCTCGCTGCAACGACGTTTCACGGAGTACGGTCAATAGAGCTACAATGAATAGAGAAATTGGAAATGAAATTTGTCGAAATTTGTTCTCGTGTCTCGTGTCTCGTGAAGGATCCCGAGATTGCCGTCGCACGCCGTATGCTACCGCTGGCTTACGAGCCAGCCGGCGTACGACCATTGTTTCTACCCTCCGCAAGCCTCCGTGCCTCTTATTACCTAAAGGGTTGGGACTGCTTTTGCTAACACCAATACCAATCGATTTTGGCGTTTTCATAGCACGACCAAAACTCGAAAATGAGCTGAAAAATATTTTTCTGATGTTCACGCCATGCTTGCGGTAAAAGCTGCGGTAGAATTTTATAAATAAATGATCTCACATTAAAGTTTAAATATTTTTTACATAAATAATTCTTGATATTATGCTTTAAACTCTTAATGTTTTTTTTCTTTTTTTTCTTTTAACGAGATTTCTATCTTGATGTTTAATTTATCAAAAATTATTATATTCGATATACCGTTATTTAAAGAAGAAATTAATTCTGTTTAAGATCACCGTTTCAAGATTATCAACTTCGTACTTCATGAATTATCTGCTAGCGCGAATCATCTTCAAAATCAAAATATTATACTCCAGAAATTTTGAACGTAGAATCATAGATGGAGAGTCAACTGACTTAACAACACCTTAAATTATTCTTGAATGATGAGAAAGTCGAGAAAATGTTTCAAGAGAAAATTGCACGGTGTCAAGAGAGACATAATTTCATTTTAGGTATAATCGTGTCCGAGATATCAAAGTCACCTATGATTGTTTTTTAAACGAAGTCAATTCTCGTTTGAAACATTCTTTCGTACAAGTAGCAGTTAAAAAATAATTTAAGATTGTTAACTTTTATAAATTACAGAGCATACTGTGCACAATATTTTACTTAATTTGTAATGATTTATGAATCTAGATTTTGAATTTGATGCAGTTATGTTTCACTTGCAATATATATTTATACTACTGAAATATGATGATATCACGAAAAATATCTTATCGTGATTTATTAAATCACGTAGCTAGCTAGGAAAAGCAAATGTTCCCTGCAAATGTTCAAGACGGATTCAACGTGAATCTAGGATGTCTAAGGCAGAGCAAGACTTATGTGAAGGAGGAGAGGGCGGCGATGGCAATACAACAATATGATTATACGGCATGCTGCACCGGTTTTCTGCAGCAGCTGCCGTCGTTTTGGGGGATCTCGACGGTCGTTCTGTCGAAGTACCGGTAGGAAAAAGCAGAAGAAGGGATGGACAAGGAGAACAGGCGGGGGCTAAAGTAAAGGCCCCTCTGCCCTCGCCGTAGGGCCCGACGCACACAATATGTTCGGGCAAGAAGAAGCAAGAGAGTGTGTTAAAAACGCCGAGTGAGAGGAAAAGGGACGCGACGGGGGAAAAGGGCCCTTTCTCCCTCTTCTATCGGCGCTGAACGCATTGCAGAAACTCGAAAGACGAGCCACACGAAAAATGTTCTACTACCTGGTTCCCTCGACCGTTTCGTTCTCTACGCGAGGAGCAAAACTGGCTCTCTTTTCAGGTTTCTTTAGAGAAGAATAAGAGAGAAGGAGGGGAAAAAAGAGAGAGAAAGCTCTAGATGGAGGTCATGGTTCTTCCTCCTTGCCCTTTCTTCTCCGTCTACGGCGTTTAGCCCTCTTTGTCGCTTGGGGTAAAGCCCTCTCGCTTCTTCGCCGTTGTCCTGCCGACCCGCCAGATTTTCTCCGATGCAGGGGTTCAGTTTCTACGCAAAAGGGGCTTTTATCTGTTCCCTTTGTGTTGTTTCGAAGGAGTCATCGATTCGAGCGAAAGAAGGACGGTAGATGAAAGTAGTGTGCGCATCTGACTAAGCTACAAGATTCGTTTTCGTTGCCTTTCAGCTGGTCGGAGTGCAGGAAGTTACATGTATGTGCGCACTACGTTGCATCACTGCATTATAAACGGTTTTTTCAAGTGATCGTTTCTGTTATATATATATTATATTATGTTCGTATATTATTTAATTTCTTATACGAATATTATTAACGAATACATAAACATATTGCTATAAAAAAATTAATGAAATTTTAACATATATTAATAAATTTTGCAACACATTTTTTATAATGTTAAAATGTTACGGTTTTTTTTGTACATATTAAATACATACGTGTATTATGAATCCGCTTATGAATCCATTTTAATAATATTTTTATATGTTATTCATTATTTGATCGTTGAATCTACATTTTGATGTGATTTATTATATAGGGAAAGTTATTTTATGTGTATAACTTACACTATGCACGCGATTTTCCTTTTATCTTCATAAATATTTTCATAAATAAAATTTCGCTATTTAAAGGAACTTTTTTGACGTGACGTAAAATAATTTGCTCCCATAAAGGTAAAATTATAACCGATATGTTAGACAAAAAAAATATTATTTTTCATATCGTTCAGTAATTTTTATAGAATATAAGGTGAAAAAAGGTGATGTAACACTTAAAATTAATTGATTAGATATATATCAATCATTAATTCATTAATTATATTATTAATTATATTTCGTTTGCAAGTAATTGGTATAATTTCACGTCGTCGTGGTAATTGCTTTTTGAAGTTCTGCTTGGCGCCTAAGTAGTGGCAATATCTCTTTTTTATGCAAGGATTTCCGCGTCCATTTCACTCAATTATGATTCTCCTTTCACTAAAGTCGACGTGAGCGAACCGCCTGTACTTTTACAAATCAGCGAAATAAAATTCTTCAAGAGAAAAGTAAGAATAGCGCTTCGTTTACCGCCGTTAGATTACATTTATAATGTATACGCTGACATGTATGCGTCAAAATACGTACACATCATTTACGCGCTAGGTATGTGTGTCGGCTTGGTTGCATGCTTAAAATCTAATTGTCACGAAACTCGCATACACATATGTATCGACCTTGCATGACGAAGTACAACGGTTCTTTCACCCTCGTAGGGGTGGGTATTGGATCTTTTCAGAGCTTCTAAACCGCACACGTGCGGCCCCCTTAATTGGACGTAGCTGAATTAGACAGCAACGCGACATACAAATTAATCCTCCCGTAACAAACATGCTACTTTGAGAGCACAATGTAGACCAAGCAGTCATTAAAACGAATGAGAATGATCATTTATAATGATTTTAAGGAAGCTTTCTTAAAGCGTTATATGGCGTATGCTTGTGTGAGAATATCCAATATGTGTGAAAAATGAAAACATTTCATGAATAAGTGAGATTTAGTTATTCGATTAAGTTAATGAAAATTTTTTTTTGCTTCTACCGACAATGTAACGAAATGCGAATTTTGATTTTTACAAGATAAAGAAAATTAAAGTATAATATCATCCTGTTATGTCTATTTCATACAGGCAAGATGGAAAGAAAGTAGGCGTGTTATATACAGATTTTCACTCATCATTCTCGCGTAGGAAGCAGTATTTATAAATCTGGAGTATTCACGTACAGAGATACGAAAATGCATGCGTATCGATTTCATTCAAAATATTTTCTTCTCTTTAAAACAAATTTCTCCCCTCTTGCATGAATGCTTTGTGAAATGACATTTTAAACTATTGAAACTTTAGAATAATATTTTTGGTTATAAGTAAACTACGAATAAATAAAATACTTAAAGTTATACCAAAATTTAATTTGAGAAATAATTTTATTAATCCTTAATATTTTCAATAGTAAAATATCTATTTAATTAACTTTCTCTAGAAATTTCCTCTAAAGAAGATATCAAAAAAATTGAAAAAAAAAAAATTATGCTACCGGTTTTACAAATTACTCTAAATCAAATTACTCGAGAGTAGAAATACTCTACGAGAGAACTTTTTAATCCTTTTTATTCTTTCATTCATCTTTCTAATTTTATAATATAAATTTCTTTCTATTTGCAGAACAGGAAGGACGTTTCCGTGTCCTAAATGCTGCACGGCTCGCGGCGTTATTAACGTTGACCGAAGTATCAAAGAACGTGTCAAGATTGAGCAAGTCGTCGTCCCGTCCGGCGGTGATCTCGCCAAAATTTGGAGGATGCTGATGCCGGGTGCCGCGGGTCTCGGTGTGGGCGCTGTGGGTGCTGTAGGCACCGTGAGTGCCCCAGCACCCGAAGACTTGGTGCAAGGACTGGGGGCACTCGCCGGTACCACGCCGCAGCAAAAGGACACGACATGGACAAAACTCTTCGTTGGTGGTTTACCCTATCACACCACTGACAAAAGCCTTAGGGAACACTTCAATGTTTACGGAGATATCGAGGAGGCGGTTGTCATCACGGACAGACAAACTGGGAAAAGCAGAGGCTATGGCTTTGTAAGTAATTACATACATTAATAGTTTCTTGTATTTCGATTTAACGCGCTATCGGAAATATGTACGAATTTGATTTTCTATTTCATAGCTAGCGCTGTAGTTTTCTGTCGGATGACTAATAACAAAATAAACAAAATAAACCATCAGAAAATCGATACGATTAACTATTATATTCAAATGACTATTTTATGGGGGGATCATAAATTTTCAATCTATTTTTACATATGCATAACATGAACATAATCTTTCTGTTTGTGATAATACGTTTCAATTGTATCGTTTCAATTGTATTTCTTATACATGTTCACGTATATATGTTTTTTTATAAAATAATTTTGATATATTTTGCATACTTGTTTATACTGATGACATGATATTGAACTTTCTTAATATTATTTCTGTTCAACATGAAGATTTAATTTCATTAATTTTGATTATAGAATTGTCACTTTTAAGAAAATTTATATATATTAAATACAATGGATATAATGAAACACTAGATCGTTCAATTATATATGTATGATAACTAATTGAAAAACATATTTTATTACGGAAGCTTATTAGCAACAAGCTTTTGGTAAGTTGAAATAGAAACCAATAAGTTTTTAAATAAAAGAGTTTTGAAAAAGTCTTTTTATACTTCCTCGAAAATAATTTTTAATGTAAATATACTTTTATACATTTTGAAATATAATATTATTTGTCTTGAAATATGTATTTTCGAAAAAATGATATTCATTTGAAACTAACTTAAAATAAACATAAAGTAAAAAATTTTAAGATCTAACTCCTAAATTTGAAATTTTTATTCATCCTATCTCTTTGTTTAAAGAAGAGAAACTTCGTGTCTCTATAGTATTTTTGTTGTTTTTCCATATTTACAACTGTATTGCAATCTTCATTGTATTGAAAAATGTTGTTAGGTAAATACACGAATAATATAGTTTTACTTTTCAAAGTAGTCTTTTAGAAAATATGAAAGTCTCATTTACGAATGATTTGTTTTATTTGAACAAGCTAGTGATTTAAAGAGTATGTAGAGAATCCATGCTTATTCTTATTTAATCGAAGATTGAATCTAATCTGTGCGTAGGTAATTATGGGAGATAGACCAGCAGCGGAGAGAGCATGCAAAGATCCCAATCCTATTATCGATGGTCGCAAAGCAAACGTTAATTTGGCCATTCTTGGAGCTAAACCCAGGGGTAACTTGCAAACGAGTAAGTATATATTATTTTATATTTTATTTACGAGAAAGTAGTTGAGTAGAAGTAGTTTGCTAATTAATATTTTCCTACATTTTATGCGAAATTTCCTACATTCATATTTTCCTACACATTTTATGCGAAATTTACTTTCCAGTATATTATTCCTAATTACTTAAAAAAATTTTTAGATGCAAATACGATTAGCATTGTAAGAATGAATTATTTTGACTGTTAGAAAGTTTTCATTTGTTTTCATTTTTGAATATTAATGGTTGATCTTTAAATTATATCGAAAAGTAAAAAGTTATGTTAAATTATGTTAAACCATTTAGTGACAATTTAATCCGTTTTGAATTATTTAAAAGTTAATATTATCAAGACGATATTTTCCGATCGATGGCATTTAATGTAGTCTTATTCATGCAAAATTTTACATAATTTTTATGCCATTCAGATTTATCAGAATTAACTCGCAACTTGCGAATAAATCACTATACTATGTATTTTTAGTAGATTAAATTATATTATTTAGCGGTTGTAATTACATTATTTCCGTTTAAGATTACGTCATATTTTCTATTTGAATTTCGTATTTTCAATATTTGCGTGTTACAGTCACGGATTTTACGCTGTTGATACATTGCCAGATCTTAGAAACAACATTCGTTGCAGCAGATATGCGACACACATCTTGGATAAGAATCCTGTGTCGCATTATTTACTAATCATATATGTCTAAGTTTGAAGAGACATTTAATCAACGTAATTTATTTTCGATATTAATCATAGCAGACAGATCGTAAACTATTTAAAGCGAAAACGTTTCGGTATGCTTTATAGTTTCAACATGACAACTATCTATAAAAATAAATGATGATACATCTGATGATACAGACAATGATGCATGCAACTATACGACTATACATGTATGTCAAAAACAAAAAATAATGAAAGACAAAAAGATGGTTCACAACCAAATGTGAAGTGTCCCCTGAGTCATTCTCTCGAACTTTCTTAATGGCTTCGAGCCAGCATAGCTTGGCGTTTCGAGACCTAAATCTAAATTTGTATTAACTTAAGAAACCGAATTTGTCTGGTTTTCCTTTTTCCTGATACGAGAATTATTTCTAATGGAACGCTGAATGAAAATCACGTTTTAAAGTCATTATTTAATTGCTGACATATGTTATCATGTGCAATGTTTACAATTTTTTTTAATAAATTATTTTTTCAACTTACCAACTTCTATCATTTTAGCATTTATACAATTTCAATATATAAAAAAAAATTTGATTCTTTTGCTACATCTAACAATCTCTGATACGTTTCGAAAATTCTGACAATCTTAACAATCGATAAAAATAAAAATGGAAAAAACAGTATATATTTATAATTTCTTAAATGGAAATGTTTTATTTTTTCTGATTAAACATTAATGGAAATTTTTTGAATTAAATTTTTTAGAATTCTATCAAAAAAACATTTTGACTTGAGTTACATAAATATTAATTTTCGTTATTGACTACTAATTTTACATAGAAAAACATAAAATTAGATACTTCATATTTTCCGCATTTATTTTTTTATAACTGCCAGAACTCTTTCAAAAGTTAAACTTCTAAAAAGAAAGGAAATGAAACTTTATTAATTACGTCAAATTTTTAAAAAAGTATAATACTAGCCAGTAGTAAAGAAATTTTATAGAAGTTATATTATGCCATATTACAACAGGAAGGACGAAAACATATTCTTGATAGAATAGCAATCGTGATATATTCGGTTGCATGGCCATTTCAAGTTTATTGCACACCATAATGCACTCTCAGATAGCGAGCATGCCATCGAAACATCAGTACGTAGGTGCGTGTGCATATTTCACGTTTATATATTTGCTTTTATGCGTGTATCTGTTCTTATCTGATGATGCCGCAATTATGTAATTATTATTAAATAATCGTTAATAGATAGGCAAATTTAGTAATACGTTCGGAAAGGAATGTCGAAAGACATACAAATGTTTGTAAATCGATTTCTCGAATCTTTATCGTCGAATGATTTATTCAGTCATCAACAATAAGAAGCATATATTTCTAATCTATGATAAATCAAATTTTCATTTGCTCGATTATCGTTTCAAGATATAGCACGTTCGCTATTTTTGTAGTGATAATTTCGTATCGTATATTGATTTAGCGAGATTTAAAAAGACACTAGTTCTCTATTGATTATGTCAATGAATGAAACATGACGTTACTGAAAGATACGACATATGACACAGATTTCTGACTAAAAATATAAATTATTTCTTCTGTTCATTCCACTAACTTTGCGTGAACTATAATATAACGTGTCCTATAAAATCAGATATACTATGAATTATGAAACTTATAACATAATTATTGATAAGAACATTTTCTCTTATCCGTTCCTTTTATTTCATATTTATGACAAAATTTAAATGATTCAAATAAGATTATGTTATATCATTATATCTTTTATTAATAAATTCTTTGAAAATTTTGATTTTTTTTTTTTAGAGATAAATCAATAAGATTAGCTAATTATTCTACATTATTTTATAATTTCTTTTCACGTTTAAAAAAATAGCAAAAGTGCATTATGACAAGCAAAACTCTTTTAAAAAAAGATAAATATTTTATGTGCCTGATATAAAAACAAAGTCATTAAAATTTTTAACATTTAGCAAAAGATTAAAAAATTAAATCAAGATTAATTAAGACTACTTGATTCATTAACGGTGATAAAAACGTTTAAAAGCAATTATTCAAAATTGAGATTCACCGATTGTATTTATGATTTCAGCATTCCCGTTCGCTGCAGGCATCCGGGCTGGTTATCCAGCAGTACTTCCCGGACAATACGGGTGAGTCTACATTTATGTGCTTTGTCTCGAGGAATATTAAAAACGTATATGTCGTAACTGTAGCTAGATCAAAAAATAGCCTAAGTCAGGAAGAGTCCTCGTGATCGGGCATAATTGACGGCTACGAAATTTATTCGCTGCAAGTCAATGAAATCATTTACGCGCGCGATTCTTCGCTCTCTCGAACGCTCGTTCAATTATTAATATAATCAAATTAAATTGCACAATAAACAATTGTTTGCGCGGCGGTTATGTAAATTTGCGAATTTGATATTGTAACGGAAAATGGAGTCAAATATTTTTTTTCTTTTTTTGTATTTTGTCGGTGGATAAATTTTCGAAATCCGTCCTTGCAGCGAACACAAGTTATTCAATTTTGCGCAAGAATTTCTCGCAAGTATCGGGGATGCAACGGCAATTAATGATCGGTAATGTAAACCGTTTATAAAAGCCAAGAAGGCACTCGTTTAACGGAGTCGAGTAATTTTACGAGCTTTTTTTAAAGACACCATATATATATAACATTTCAGCATCCTGACGCGCGCGCGTAAGGAGACAGGCAGAGAGTTCTCTTTCCGAGATCCTTGAGACGGCCAAGGGCCATTCTAAGGACCCCATATTAACGCGAAAGAGAGACAAAGATACAAAAAAAAGAAAGAGAAAAGAGGGCAAATGTATTAGCGATCAGTGAAAGAAAGAAAGAGAGAGAGAAAGCGGCACACGCACACGTATCAGAAACCTACACGTATGAGTACCTACGAATTTCTTTCCATGAAGTACATAGACGAAGATCTTCCGGGGATCGGCCTGTTCTTCTTCTCCTAACGTACTTTTTTTGACTGTGTTTTTTTTCTTGTTACTTTCTTAGTGAAACTGACGTGAAGTGATGATAATGATTGCAGTTGCTGAGAGATTTGCGATTTGTTTGTTTTTTTGTTTGTTTTTTTTTTTTTTTTTTTTTTTTTTTTTTTATATATCTTTACACTCTTCACACTCTTTTTCTTAATAAGCATAATATTAATAATGATAATTGTAGTAATAATAATCACAATATGGATAACTGTTACCTCTTCGATTCGACATTGCCGCTCATAAAAGGAAAATCGAAATATTTTAAATCTCTTATTTAGTTTAATCGGCGATTTATTTTTCATTAAATAGGTGTATAAAAAAAGACGAAAGATAAAGTTTGTAAAGATTACATCAATGATATCAAAACTGCAAGCTTTCTGTGATGAATTTTTCTCTTTTACTCATGCATTGGACAAAAAAATATAATAAAAAGTTAATATGTTCAATCTGTATTATAAGCAATATTATAATAATATTGATAAAGTGATAAAAAAATTTATCCATATAAATTTCTCAATTAATAATTTTTAATTAAAGTGGTTCGCAATTAATTATTAGTGAGTAAAGTATTATTAGGTTTGTTATGATGAATGGTTTCTTTCCTTAAACAATCTTTTAAATACATAATCTTTTTCTTCACTTCCGCATATTTCCGGAAATCGTGCCTTTTAACGATCCGTTTCTTTATTTTTATTTTCATGTGTATATTTCTAACCCGTTTATTATAATTATTCTCTTGGTTTGTCTATGGTGGCGGGAATACTAAAACTGAGCGAGGATAAAGCGTCTTCCAATTTTAGAATACGAATTTTCGCAGTGTTCCCTTTCACGTTGGGTTATTTGTCTTTTAGTCGAAACGAACGAGGTACTCTATTAGACACTTTAACGAGTCTTGTAGCTAAGCTGACTCCTAAATGTGTTTCATCAATTTGGCTGCATTATTTCCTTTTTAGAATTAAAGAACCGTGATATGAAATATGAACGTGAATGGCATAAAGAATTGTATAAATTAAATCGAAATAGTTAGAAGATTTCTTCGTTAAATTAACGCAAGCCAAGGAAGAAGCGTATCTGATCTGCCAACGAACCGTTCGGCCATTGCTTATAAATATTTAGTCTTTCGGGGTACGTAGACCATGCAGACTTCTCCTCGTGCCTCGTTTGCTCGCTTAAAGCGTCTTTCGCGATTCCGCGAGAAGAACAAAATGGATAGATGGAAGTCGAACGCGGGGAGAACCGAGGGATGGAGAGACGTGCGTTGGAATTCGGTTGAATAAAGAGAAACGCGGCCGCGATTTCGCGAACTTCGAGATTCTCTTTTTCTGGTCTCTCCGCCGGAAATCGACCGGCACCGAGACACGAATGGCGTGTTATTAATTTTTGATCGTGCGACGATCGATCCTATCGCGGTTCACTTCGTTTGGCCCGGTAGATTCTTCAATGCCGCACGAAAATTTTATCGAAATGTGGAAAACACATTAAATTACATCGACAATTAATATAAGTTTTCTGAAAAAAAAAAAAAAGTGCCGCTTAATAATTTGTTTCTCCTTCCTAGATTATTATAATCACAATTATTCAATAAAAATAAATATAAGAATTAAATAATCTCTAGGGCACGGCGTGGAGTCGAGAAAAAGATTTCGTATGTGCTCAAAATAGACGAAAAAATCGATTTACTGAAATTATTTCAGTAAAAACTGACGACGCAGTCAGTCAATAGTTTAGGGTTCAAAATGGAGGCAAGATGGAGATTCCTCCTTGGACTGCGATAAGGTGGATTAAAATGTTTTTTACAAAACGTGAATGCTCACTCGAAACTGTGTACAGGATCCGCTAACCATATAATATAATATTAATAACCTTGTGTGTGTGGTGAAGGCTTACACTACACTTGGTGTCGCTATTGGTGTTGTATTTTTTGGTGTTGTACGTGGGTGGTTTTTGGACTTTCAAATAACACGGTATATAATATATATAGTTCTACGTTGTGAGATAACGAAACAAAACATGATTGCGTATCTCTTTTTTTTTTAATTTACTTGAGTATTAGTTGACGAATAATTATCATCTGTAGCATGTATCAATTATAGAGATATCATTATTCTAAATAATAATAGATCGAGATTATTTTCGCGATTGTGAAAAAAGATGTGTATATACATGTACAAAAGTCAGAAACATTCGTAGTTCGATTATTTATGTATCATTTTTTACGGTGATTTTTTTATAGGAGTAATCCGAAACTCTTTTTTCTCCCGTTTGTTAATGAAAGGTCCCGACTTTCTTTATCCTTGCGAAGAAACCGCGTGAAGAAAGAAGCGTGAATATAGGAGCAGCATATGAAGAGGGTTCATTTTTTGTACGATCCAGCAAAGTCCCACGCAAAGACCAATTGACCTTTGCGTTAAAATTACGGATTCAAATTATAGTAAATTCTAAAGGCGAAGACGATTAGTTTTAGTTCAGCTCTATTTAAAGCTCGCGTTGTTACTGCGATCAAGACGTAATGACTTCTTCATATAAAGGAAAGTTGCAATTATACAAATATGAATAATACGTATCACAAAAAAATATTATCATTAAATACGTATCATAAAAAATTATTATCACTTATATTTTTAGATTTTAAATGAATAGCTTAACAAATTTTTGCTAATTTTCTCTATTACGAACTTATATTCATTGATGAGACGAAATCTTGGCGACGTCATGTTTGCGGAATGCAATACGCCGCGCAGTTGCTGTTACACGCAAACAATGGCGGATTTTTCGTCACGGGGAGAGCGCACATTTGCGAAATATCCATTCGAAAATTGAGCACGTCGACACGTGTTATTGGCAAAAACGTCGTTGTTGGCGTCACGCATAGGCGTAGATGCGTAGCTCGCGACGCGCGCCCTCGAATTAGCGAAACGTAAGTGGAAAAGTGAAATTCAACACCGGTCCGGACGTCGTGGTAGACGTCAGAGACGGTTCCGTTCGATGGTGCTGGTAAATTTGTGTCGTAAGCGAACGCCGACGACGACGCCGACGACGACGCCGACGACGACGACGACGACGAAGAGCGACGACGCCGAACGTCTCGACCGGCCATCTTGCAGCCGCGCTGGCGACGGTCCAGTCTTTATTTAGCACCACCTGTCCCTCATGTCAGCTTCTCTCTAACTGTAAGCCGCCACCGCTCTCGAAGGCCCTATCGAGAGAATTCTAACACGATTTAAGGCCGTTCTTAATATTAAGACGACGTGCGTCGGGTCGTGTTAAAAGATCCGCGCTTATTTATGCTCCCGCACATCATTTCCGCTCGCTCATTCATTCATTTTATACGTATATCGAAAATCGAAACTGAATTCAGAGAGCGAGATAACTCAAATCATTGATTACGATGAACGTTCTCCGCTCCGATTTTTCTTTTTCGCGAAAATAGCGAGCTATCCCATATATTTTTCCAAATTATCTCTGGAAAAGTAAAGCGTCAATTTGATATACACGATCGCTTTTGCGAATTCTCGCGGCAATTCTTCTGTCTAATTTGCTCTATAAACATTCAGAGATGTCTATATATCAGAGCAAACATGAAAGGCTTCAAAAATATGTCATCCCGTCACGAATTATGTATTTTATGCGGTATATAATGCTATCTTAGGAAGAAGTATATTCTCTCTGACTCATTCGTAAAAACGTTGACTCACTTGAAGCAGTCGATCGTAACGAGTACTGCTTCGGTATTTCATTTCCGTTTCACGCGTCGTTGGTAGGAATAAGATCTACGCGCATTTCTTTCGGAGAGATGAAACGGCGCGGGGTGTTAAAGGTCCATTTCTATTTTCATTACCGCGGGCTCTCATCCACCTGTCGTCGTCGCTCTTCTGACGCAAGCCGTAACATCGCACCACGAGACGAGCATCGTTTCTGTATCGCATTTACGTAAATACATTGAGGCCACATTTAAATCTTGCATCTCGAATTTTAGAACGGTGAACGCGCGTGATTCCGGATGATCCGTTGAAATTTCAGAACTGTCGCACGCTTCGAAATAGACATTAGATAAATTACAGATAAGCTATATTCTCGAATGAATATATGTGAGAAATAAATTTCCTTCATCCATATATTGCTAGCAATAGTCTAGCAATCGTCTCTAC